TTTTGCCTGATGAAAGATTAGAAAACCTGATCCAGAATTATTACCTCCCACGTCACAACCAGATGACGGCTTGGCGGCCAGCTGCTGGTAATGTGTAACATACTGTAAAGATTTTATTTCCCCTTACTTCCTTTCAGGTAAGTACCAGAGTCCCAGGTCATGTGTACGTGTGCTACTTGTCTGATCTGAGGAGGTTCAGGTGTGTACATTAGCAGAAAAATAATTCTGGACTCAATACTTGATACCCTAGACACATCATGCTTTAGACAGAAGTAGTGGTTCAGTGATGGCTACCTCCAAAGAAATCCCCAGTGATTAGAAGGTCATTATTGAAAGTTTGGGCAGTAAATGATTTGAAAACGTTATAAACTAGCCAGTGGGGTGATCACTCACAAAAGAATGCTTGCTACTCTTTTCCAGGTGCCTTACCCATTTTTTCCAAGCACCAACATTTTTAGAATGCATTTGAAGTATACAAATGCTTTCCTTTCCCACTTGCTGTAATTCATTATTTTTATAGACAAAGTACAGGAAGAGTTTATGACTTTTTTTTTTTTTGAGGGGGGAGGGGGGCACAATTTTCACATGTACAAGACAAGAAAATATTACAGCAGTCAGTTGCTTTTAAATTGTGCCCCAGAGTAGTCAGGAAGTCAGTCAACTCCAGTATTTCAAAAACCGTTAGGTCTTGGTACCTGAACATCCTTGACAAATTTCTCCAGATACTGATCTTGGCCAGCAGTGGGAAGCAACCATCAATATACCTCCGACCCAGCAAGTAAACAGCACAGAGGCAACGCTGACTCCACCTAATTTATGTTCTTGGGCTTTGGACCACGCACGGCCAGAGCAGGTAAGGAGTAGACAGACAACTTCGGATGAAACTGTATTAAATCACTGTCAAAATAAGGATTCATTATGGGTGGGATTTTACATTTCTGGACAGCCTTTTCCAAGTGTTTTGGTGGTCTGAAGAGTCAAAGGTTGAGAGAAAAATGGCTCACAAAGATCTTCTAGAAAGAACTAGCTAGCATAATTCTCCAATAAAGAAAATAGTTTCCACCTTCTGCATCCCCAAGTAACATGTTTGTCCATCCTGTAATACATTATCTATAATTTATAAAAAAAAAAAAAGATTATAATCTTCAGATTTACCACTGCATTCCAGATAAATAGTACAGTCTGCACATACTATCAGACCATTCAATTAGACTTAATCTGTGTTAATTAAGCTTTCAATTTTCCAAGCTATATTTTAATACATTTGGATCATGAAAACAAAGTCTTTATCATCATTAAGCTGATTCAACAAGATAAAATATTAACAAAGGTGCATTTATCATCATTGTAGTATAAATCCCGTCCATCCAATGATGATATAAATTAACAGCAAATCTCTTAACTGTTGCAAAATATCCATTTAGTATAACAAAACAGCATATCTGAACTACTGACTGCAAGAAAAGTTGTATTCATTTTATTTTATTACTTTTAGTTTCAGAGTTCCATGCTATTAACGGAAAATAAAATCCTGCTAAAACTTACTATAGAAATGAAATTTAATCCAAGCATTCTATGTATTGCTACCTTATGGCCATTGCCTCCACTACATAGATCATGCAAAACTCTCTTTTGAAATAGTTATGCTGTTATGCTGGCATATGTAACTTCAAATATATATATATATATATGTATGTATGTGTGGACGTGTACAAATATATACACGTTTTTGTTGCTTGGAATAAAACCTATTTGTCAACTATTAAATCTGTGTGCAACATAAAAGACATCTCCCATCAAGATATGAACTCTTGCACCAACAGCTAACACAGCTTCTTTTATTCAGGTGGTGTTGACCTCCTGCACATTCTGAAGTCTCAAACTTTTAACTTTGTCACTTTTGGTATGCTGATAAGTTAAAATACATTATGTCCTTAACTACAATATCTCCTATGTTGTGTGTAAGGGAAGAGTTCTTAGCTTTTCCATAGTCAAAAACTATACTGTTTAGGTGATAAATGTAGCCTTATACTTGTTCCCACAGGTCTTAATCATGCTGAAACAGTGATGTTTCTTATGATTCTTTTTGCATCGTCTATTTTCACAGACACATGGAAGGTTGAAAAAAGCTTGGGGGACAAAAAAGAACATGGATGTCACCAGAACATAACCATGATAATTATCAAAAGCTTGGTAGGAGCAACAATTTTAAAAAGGCTTCGCCTGTGTCAAGGGCCTACACCCATTTCAGTTCACATGCTACGCTAAAGACTGGAGTGAGCCGAGCAGCTAGAGCTACATCCAAAAAATATCAAGCTGAAGGTTCTACTATTACATCAATCATAATGTAAGCAGGGTCCTCTTCAGTAGTGCCCCAAATCTTTGCTCTCAACTCCTCATCAACATTAAAAAACTATTTTCTTCACTTGTCATCCACTTTATTAATTTCTGTCACCACAGACCTAAGAGTTTCAAAGTACTATCCTTATCAAGGTCCAAGTAGCAACTTAAGAAACCAGAGAAACAGTGACTCTGTTTTAAGTGATACACAATGCCTCCAGAAAAGAAGGTGCGCTGATTTTGGCTGGAGTAGAGTTTATTTGCTTCGCAGTAGCTAATAGGGGGCTATGGTTTGGATTCGTGCTGTAAAAAGTGTTGATAAGGCAGGGACACTGAGCAGGGCTGACAGAGAGTCAAGGCCTTTTCTGCTCCTCACCTCATCCCACCAGTGAGGTGCTAGGGGGGCACAAGAAGCTGAGAGAGGGCACAGCCAGGGCAGTTGACCCCAACTGACCCCCGGGACATCCCACGCCATATGACATCATGCTCAGCATATAAAGCTGGGGGAAGAAGGAGGAAGAGGGGGGACATGTGGGGAGTGATGGCGTTTGTCTTCCCAAGTCACCGTTACGTGTGATGGAGCCCTGCTTTCCTGGAGATGGCTGAACACTTGCCTGCCCATGGGAAGGAGGGAATTAATTCCTTTGCTTTGCTTGCATGTGCAGCTTTTGCTTTACCTGTCAAACTCTCTGTATCTCAACCCACGAGTTTCCTCACTTCTACCCTTCCAATTTTCTCCCCCATCCCACCAGGGCGGGGAGTGAGCGAGCAGCTGTGTGGGGCTGAGCTGCAGGCTGGGGTTAAACCACAATGGAAGGGTAACTACAGTAACCAGCTAACACTGAGAAGGTAACAGCAGTCATTAGCAACACTGGACATGCCTGTTCCAACTCTTAGATAGAACTACACAGACTGAAACCTACCTTGGTTACTACACAGAACTACAAAGGTTTAAGTGAGACTAACACCCAATCCTTCAACTATATATCTTTTTAAGAACAGGTATCTCTTAATTTGAAATACTAGAGAGAACCTCAGTGCCAAGAAGGACATCAGCAGTACATTTTGTTCAATCAAGATTACTCCTGCATAGCACATCTCTCTAGGAGCCTCGGTCTCTACCCATCAAGATAGAGAAGTTAAGGAGCTAAATTCAGAAAAGGCCGTATCTAAAAATCCACATGCCTTGCACTATATAATCACCACTACCTGTCTAGTTTGACCTTGGATTTTGCTGAGTACAGGAACGTGTCCCTATATGTGACAGTGTTCCTCTGTCAATGGCTCTTCCTCAATGTCCTCTTCCTCAAATTAAAAAAAAAAAAAAATGAAAAAAACCAACATGGCAAGCTGATCCTGTTGTCCATGACTTCCATGACTTAGAGAAGGTTACAGTGGCCTGGACAAGCTTGGAGGAATTAAAAAGCAGTGACTAAAGGAATGATAGAGAAAGAGAAGGAAAACAGGAAGAGCTGGAGGGAGGGATCCCCATGTAATGTAAAACAATATTCTTATATATTGAGGCAATAGCCTGGAAAATGAAAGAAGGAATAAAGTAAAACAAGAGACCAATACAAAAGTAGAGGTGACCGAAAAGTACAATGACAGAATAAGGAAGTAACAGAGCCCTCCCCTTAGCTATTCTTGTCTGGACATCTCTGCTGTTGCACTGGCAAAAGCCACCATTGACCATTTGGTCATAGTAAAGCTACTGCCTTCTCCTTCATATACTTTCTCAACAAAAGGGAAGAAATTGGGTTAACAGTTGTGTTTCACGTAAATACCAATAGGATTTTTTTTTTTCCTAAAAGAAATGCTGCAGAATGACTGGTATTAGATTTGAAATGGGAGCAACCAAAGAACTTCCTATTACTCGCATTAAAACAGAAAGTCAGACTAGATACACAGGTCCTTCAAGGCCTAAATTATGAGGAAAAACATTCACAAAGTTACAAGCAGGAGACTATTTGACACAACGCACATTTTGAAACATCAAAACATCATTGGAATTGTATTTCAGGCCATAATACCAGGTACGCTTTTTTTTTTTAAGTAAACAATGTCTGTCCCTACAATAGTTAATGAAAAAGACCTCTTTTTTCCTCCTATGCTGACGATTAAAAAAAAGGGGAAAAAAAAGGATACACACATGAAATAAGAACATACTGTATTTACACCAGGAATAAAACATGCACGTCACCATACAGAAGCACAAGTAGCTTAATTGCTTAATAGCTTAATTGCTGAATCTCAAAAAAGAAAACATATCATTTAAAAAAGTTATAAAACACAGTGAAGCAGGAAATGTGCAAGTTTAACTTTTATGAAAAAGCAAACTCCAAAGTGCACGAGAGAAACTAGTAAGGGAAATTGCATTACAAGGTTTGTAACTTCCAGAGTGCATTGCGTCAATACGACACCGGTTTTGATCTTTCCACTTAAGTTAAGTTATTTTACAGACCAGGATACATAAATAATGCATTCCTCCTGTAACAAAAAATAACTAGCAAAAAGCAGCAAATTGCAAACCATGAAGAAAGGCTTTAACTTACCCGTCAGATTGTACATCTACCGTTTCAACGCACTGTCAAAATGGACCACTGAGTGCTCAGTGGTCCTTTCATGTTGCTGCTGCTACAAGAGAAACAATTTCCTCTTACCTGTGCTCTAACTCTCGGATAGACAGTATAACTCCAGAAGTCGATGCCTTCTGTTGCAGGGTGGCCAGAAACGTAAACTCGCTTTTATTCCGGAAGAGCTGAATTAACTTCTCACTCACATGGGGCGCTGCATGGATTTCTCTTTCTGTATCTGAGAATTTTATTGAAAAAAGAAAAAAAAAAAAAAGAGGGAAACAACAGTCCAGTAAAAATGCTAAGTCAGAAAGATTCAGATTACATTTTTCATTTTTCCATCAGAATTTTTCATTTTTGAGAGTCATCTGCCACACTCCACCACTGCATTTGTTCCATGAAAAAACCCAAATGCCATCTCTGACAGCATGCCCACTTGTCACTTTGACAAGTTCACAACTGGTCAGCTACTGATTTTCTGACAGAATTTTTAACGGGATGCTGAGCCATTTGTGTCTGCTGCAAGCAGATTAAGTTGCTGTAAATAAGGTGTGCTGCAGTCAGATAAATAGGCTCCTAAATTCTAAGAAATCTCAGGCACTGTCTCTCCCAGCACTATTCACCAAGCTCCAATTTCAGTTTTCACCACTGACTCCGTTACCACCTCTCCATTGTACATCAGAGGAAACCTGTCCTTGCACTGTGTAAGGCTGAGATGTATTATTCCTAATAATGCTATATGGCTGTGCCTCTGCCCAAGAAATAAATATAAGACACGCTTGCAATCCACTATCATTTCAGGGATTTCTCAGTTTAAACAAGCAAAGCGTGACAGCTCATACAATATTTATTAAGCTACAGCCTGACCAGGCAAATCCAGAAATACTTCAGTCCCACTAATCCTGCTGATGTCCAAGCAGTGGCATGCCTTCTTATATTTGATCTTCTAAGATTCTAATGTGCCATCTCCCACCACATTCATTTTTATCTCATCCTTTTATTCACAATATATCATCACTGCGCAAGATGATTAATGACAAAAGGGAGAAATCACAGCATTTCACCTTCCCACCCCTTGCCATGTCTCTCACGCTGGGCCTTTGTCACACATTTGCAAGATCTGTGGCACTTGCGGTTCCTGGATGTCACAACCAATTAGAAGCCCGGTGAGCTTCCTTTCGAAAGGTTTACTTTGAAGCCAGAAATGCCGGCACAAATTCTCAGCTGGTAGAAAACCATATACTTCTACTGAATCCTGAGAATCTGGCCCAGCATGAATGCTGTAACACACAAAGGAGTGATGAGATTTACAATTCAGAATTTCACTGCGGGGAAAAAAAAAAAAAAAAAAAAAACAAAAACCACCACATTGTGTCATTAAATGAGGCTTTGCAGACAGAAAGAAGAGAGACTAGCTTGAAAAAAACAACTTGAAACTCAGAAATGCAACTACTGAGGGAATGCCATGGACTGAAACCAAACTCCAAGGAAAAAGTATTCAAGCATGTTTTGTAATTGGGTGTCTCAATTTTTCCAGTACAGCTTAAAGCCCTTCCAATGAGCCTACACACTCAGAATCCATAACGTTCTTGCACTCTGAAAAGCTCACTTCTGAAAGTTACTGCAAGTTAGACATCAAAAATCACTAGTCACCATTTAAAAATCTTTGCCAGAGGCTCAAATTAATTTGATAAATAAATATATTGCCCACTTTACAGCAACAAACTATTTGTCTACCCAACGCCACTTTTATCATACCAGAGGATAAAACGCCAAAGAGCGCAAATCACTTCCACTACCATCAGAAAGCGGAATGGGGGAAGAAACAGTCCAGCACAGAAGAACAGATTTTGTTCTTATCTACCAGATTTCACTACCTCTATCATTATCTTCACCTAACAGGTGTTACTACTGGTCGTAAATACTATCTAGTTTCTTTTAAAAAAAAGCTGACGCAGAAGACCCAAAACTATGTGTCCCATACACCAGTAAGTTCTCCAGTGTCCAGTTTGCTATCAACGCAGACAGGCAATCCACTGGTACTAAGTTCCAAGGCACAAGTGAGACTCAGAGATAAAATATTCCAGAGCTGATAGTTGAGGATGATTACCCTTGTTTTAAAGGTTAAAAACCTTAGTATCTTACAAAATTTTGTATTTTTTTTCCAAAAGGGGGTCACAAACCAGAAATAAAACATGACTTATCAAAGCTTTCAAAAATTCTTTGATATGAAAGCATAGGCAGCACTGCCAGAGGAATATATATGCTAAAATTTCAGTCAAGCCGTGCAAAGTCCAACATTTTCTCATTATAGGGGGACTCAGATATAAAGCCACATCCCACTACCTATCCACCAAACTCTATACAAAAATATAGGACTCCTTAGTCAGCATCATGAACAAATAACCAATGCACGGACTGCTTCAAAATACTGTGCCATACTCTTACCAACTCTTCATAGTCACGAATGCACCAAAACCACATGCAATACCCGATATTCATTCTCTGTTGACTAAAATCAGTGAGATCCAAAGTTCTGAAATGCCAGAATCTTGGGTTCAAACTACTAGACAACGAACAGTATTTATAGACTGTTTTGCAACACTACTCTAGTATAATTCATCCCAAGGAAGTTATATAACTAGGTTTTAAAAATCAACACACTTCTAAGTATGGTGCTATTTATTTGGAGTAGGTCTACTCAACACCAGTGCCAAGGAACAACCCGTGCCCCTAGAAAACTGAAAAACCTACTTGCAGATGCAAAAATGTCTACAGAAATGCTGTTCTTCATAACCTCAGTAACTACAACCAGGGGAGCTTCCCAGAAATTCCATGGTGAGATGGCAATGCAACCCAATAGCCCGCGACTGGACTTGCAAGCCAAGGAACCCGCCAAGGCTCACGAGGATCCAGGGGCACGTGACCTGGCATTACAGAGATGATAAACCTGTCAGGGTGCTTAGCGCAGCCCTGGGCTCGCAACCTGGGGCCCGAAAGCTGGGAAGGAGCCACACGAGGCCTTGCTGAGGGCATGGCCCAGCCGGTGTGGAATCAGCCCAGTTCCCATGCCCCATGGGACAGCCCCCCAGCAGCGTCCCTCCTCATGCTGTGCGATCGCCGGGCATGTCATCTGTTTGTGTTTTGCTCAATTTCTGCAGAAAATACCACACAAATGAACTGGGAGTATGATCCATTTAGAATAAGAGCTTTCTATTTTCAGGTTGATTTTCACACTTCAAAAAAAGAAAAATTGAGAATACATACACCCCCCTTACCACAGGTGCCTGAAAGGGAAAATACTTTTTATGCTCTCTATAAAAATAACTGTCTGCTCATAATGAAATGTCGTATTTCCTACATAATGTAGAACAATATAGGTTTATACAGTAATCTTCAGTGAAACATCGCTTCATGCTTGAATGATAATGCAATCTCAGCAAAATAAATAAATAAACAAAGATACGACTTTCATATGCCCTTCGATGTGATTATATTTCCTTAATTTGAAATACTGACTGTCTGGAGGGGTTTTTTTAAACATACCAGAGCGTTTCTAAAATAAAACAAGCAAAAAAAAACAAGGATGCACAGTTATTTGAAAGTACAACAGATACAAATTATCTCAAAGCATGAAGTAAAGGCAACTTTCTACCTTCAACAAAACAAAGCAGCAGAAGACACATCTGTGTCAAAGAGAGAGCGTATCTGTTGCTTGATTTTAATTCCTTTTTTTTTTTTTTAAGCCGCAGGTCCAAGGAAGTGCCAAACACCAAGCAATAGTGCAGTCTGCCACGACAGCCATACCTGTTTAGCCCTTGCGATCCCACGTTTCCCTGCCCAAGATGGCGCTCTCCCGATCCCGGGGTCACCTCCTTGCCTTATCCTGGCTGCTTTGTCCCACATGAACCCGTTCAGCCCCCAACCAGCACAGCCCTAACAAGCCAAAAGGAACTACAAGAGGAACCAGCACCCAGGGCAACGCTTGGGCAGGGGGGGCTCAGCAGCTGCGGCAGGGGGCTGGCTGGGCTCACAGAGGAAGACCCCAGCACCCGCTGAGCTGCAGCGAGCTCTTACACGCTCAGCCACCTTGATGAATCTTACCTGCAACTGCAATTACTCACAATACTCATTTTTCCAGCACCTTCAAAGTAAGTCTCACATTTTTATTTTAGCATGGGTTTGCTTTCATTTCTTAAGACCAGTCCAGATGAAAGGTAATGCTGCACCAAGGCCAACGATGTCAGGGCAAGTTTACCTTGCACATCTGAAACTTACGGGTATTTCGGTACACACTAACCCTACATGACAAATGGAATTAAGAAGGCACAATAACTCAGGATTAGGATCATTCCTTACAAACCCAATTTAGGCACTCAAGTCACGTGGATCCACTGCTCTATGCGTCACCAGCTCTGGCAACTAAAAATTAAAGCCTCAGGCCTTTGCCACTTGTAGACCAGAACACAAGAGACCCAAATAAGAGAAAGGGAGACATTGGCTTCAGCTCCATTAGAACAGTGTAAGAAAAGTATCACCACACAGAAGGAGACAAAATGAGTTAGAGAAATAAAAGGGCAGCACTAGGAAAGCAGGCAAAGTTCTTGCCAAACTTATTTTGATAATAGCGTCAACAGTCCATCCTAAAAAGGTAAGTACATGACCCTTTGGGCTGGAATTTTAAGCAACGAAAAATGTGCACCAGTTCTTACAAGCTGAATCCCAATCCACCTGGGAAATCATTTTTCTTTAATAGATGCTTCCATCAGAGAAAAAAAACTAAAAGTCAGTTCTAAATCAAGTCATGTTTTCTGAAGCAACAGACACATTTCACCATTCATGAGCCCGTCTGAATACCTTTTCCTTTTACTTCCTTACTTTGGTAGGGAACACACTGCAGAACACATTGCTTTATTGGTACCTTCAATCATTTTAAAGCTATTTGTTTCAACATGCTTTCAGGAGAATCTTTGCACCGTCACTCTGGACAAGCAAGTAGAAATTAACTCTCAACAACAGAGAATCTGGATTTCAGCTACAGCAATTAAAGAATCGAATATTGCGACACATTGGCTTTTACCTTGCTATGGGCAAAATCCCATAAACCTGAAATCTCTATTTAAAAAAAAACCAAACAAACAGTCCCCCTTTTTGTTTTTTAAATCAGCAGCTTTCCAAAAATGGAACCAAGAGTAGACTGAGGATCCAAAACTAGCAACTCTCAGTGTAGACAGTTTA